CCAGGAGCGCAGCAGATCCCGCCAGTCACTGCCACTGGATCAGCACCGACCCGAGCCGCGTCTGGAGCGAGCCTGGGAACACCGGATCTGGGCTGGGACTCCTGGTTCCGCTCCTGCCTCTGCCGCCTCTCCGTGTGCTCGAGTTATCCGTAACATTAGCAGAGTAGCTGCCAGTCCCAGAGGCGCAAATTTAGCACGTGAAAGCCTAGCAGATCATCAGCACCACTTTAGTTAGTATGATTATCATTGCACACCAGACATTCCGCTGGACGTTGCAGTTGCGATGGTAACCTCTTCTGTCCAGGAGCTTTCAGTCCATGAATACTGCCACGTTAAAGAAAGAGAGAAAGAGAGAGAGAAGGAGGGAGAGAGGGAGAGAGGGAGGGAGGGAGAGAGGGAGAGAGGGAGGGAGGGAGGGAAGGAAGGAAGGAAGGAAGGAAGGAAGCAAGCAAGCAAGCAAGCAAGCAAGCAAGGCCAGCCAAGTGGTGTGGTGGTTAAGGAGGCTAGATTCCACATGGCCTCGAGCGTGAACACGCGCCGCCGCGTGGTTCAAGTCCCAGACCCGGTGGCTTGATGGAACATACCCGGCACAAGTGTGTGTGTGCTCAAAATCCGGACAGAAGGGATTACTGAGCGGCCATCTTCCATAAAGGACGATTTCTCACTTCCCTTCGTTCTGTATCTTGTCTTTCTCCAGTGAGCGTTGTGTGCCCTGTAGCAAGAACAGAATGAAATGCTTAAAGCCAAGGAGAATAACCTCCTTAATCTACTGAAGGCATAACAAAAACCAACAGAATAGCTTAAATCTAAGAAGAACACTCTTCTTAATCCACTGAAGGCAGTCTAAAACGATGGGATTTGACATTTACATTGTGTTGCATAAACTCCTGACACTCAGTCCACAGACACTTTTATTTATTTATTTATTTATTTTTTAATTTTAATTTTTATTTTTTGAGAGATTTTTGCTATAGGGCGTGTGCGCTCGCCAGACAGACAGAGACATAGAGACAGAAAGCGAGAAATCACCCCCCAGGGGGGATGGTCACGCCGCAATCCCTTCTCCATTCTCCTCTCGGGATCTTGGGCACGCACGCACACGCGCCCGGCGTGAGTTTTAAGCCACCGGGTCCAGGATGCGAACCGCGGTCGACTACGTGGGAGTCCAGCGACATAGCCATTACGCTAACTGCTGGTTCCCACAGACACTTTTCATAAAAGAGAAATTTATTGGTTCTTGTGTGGACTCAGACTTGCATAGTCCAGAGAAAAAGATCTTGCTTTAGTTCTTGGTGTAAATTTTATATCCAATCCAAGTTGGATTTTATTTCAGTCAATGAAGGCAGTTTAGAGTAATGACTGAGAGTGCAAGCCGGGAAAAGAGATTATTTAGGTTCTGTTCATACATCTAACATTTACTAGTTACGCACTCTTGAGCAAATGGGTTTTGGTTTTCTCATCTGTAGGTGGAGGACAATAATAGGGGCCAGCAGATGGCATAGTGGTTATGTTGCTGAACTCCCACATGGCTAACTGCGGTTCAAGTCCAGGGCCTGGCTTGAAACTCACACTGTGTGTGTGTGTGTGTGTGTGTGTGTGTGTGTGCATGTCCAAGATCTAAGGAGGAGAAGGGATTGCAGCATGGCCATTCCCTCAGGAGGATGATTTCTCACTTTCCTTCTCATGGCTCTGTCTCACACCCTAAGGCAAAAACCTTCCCCCCCCAAAAAAAAAGAAGAAAGAGGACAAAAATATTGCTACCTAGCATATTAAACTATTGCGAAGATTAAAAGCCAGTATATATAAAGCCCATAGAAAACTACATAATTAAATGTTCATTTATGTTAGTTATTAATATTATTTCAAGCAGTGATACAAAGAACATGTTACCTAAATCCCGATCTTTCTTTTAAGGCTTAATTTAGTTCTTACATCTGTCTTAAAGCCTCCTTGAGGGAAAGATCCATATAAATGATCCTCTGAATTCCCGTGGCCAGAATCAAGTCATTTGTTTCTCTGTGCCCACAGTTTCTCATTTTTACGAGTTGTTCTGTATTCAGTGAAATGCATATTTAAAGAATACATGCGGCAAGCCAGCTGGTGGCATGCTGGTTGGGGCAGCTAGATCCCACATGGCCAGTTGTGCTGTTTGAGTCTAGGAAGGAAGGAAGGAAGCAAGCAAGCAAGCAAGCAAGCAAGGCCAGCCAAGTGGTGTGGTGGTTAAGGAGGCTAGATTCCACATGGCCTCGAGCGTGAACACGCGCCGCCGCGTGGTTCAAGTCCCAGACCCGGTGGCTTGATGGAACATACCAGGCACAAGTGTGTGTGTGCTCAAAATCCGGACAGAAGGGATTACTGAGCGGCCATCTTCCATAAAGGACGATTTCTCACTTCCCTTCGTTCTGTATCTTGTCTTTCTCCAGTGAGCGTTGTGTGCCCTGTAGCAAGAACAGAATGAAATGCTTAAAGCCAAGGAGAATAACCTCCTTAATCTACTGAAGGCATAACAAAAACCAACAGAATAGCTTAAATCTAAGAAGAACACTCTTCTTAATCCACTGAAGGCAGCATTTCCATTGTGTTGCATAAACTCCTGACACTCAGTCCACAGACACTTTTATTTATTTATTTATTTATTTTTTAATTTTAATTTTTATTTTTTGAGAGATTTTTGCTATAGGGCGTGTGCGCTCGCCAGACAGACAGAGACATAGAGACAGAAAGCGAGAAATCACCCCCCAGGGGGGATGGTCACGCCGCAATCCCTTCTCCATTCTCCTCTCGGGATCTTGGGCACGCACGCACACGCGCCCGGCGTGAGTTTTAAGCCACCGGGTCCAGGATGCGAACCGCGGTCGACTACGTGGGAGTCCAGCGACATAGCCATTACGCTAACTGCTGGTTCCCACAGACACTTTTCATAAAAGAGAAATTTATTGGTTCTTGTGTGGACTCAGACTTGCATAGTCCAGAGAAAAAGATCTTGCTTTAGTTCTTGGTGTAAATTTTATATCCAATCCAAGTTGGATTTTATTTCAGTCAATGAAGGCAGTTTAGAGTAATGACTGAGAGTGCAAGCCGGGAAAAGAGATTATTTAGGTTCTGTTCATACATCTAACATTTACTAGTTACGCACTCTTGAGCAAATGGGTTTTGGTTTTCTCATCTGTAGGTGGAGGACAATAATAGGGGCCAGCAGATGGCATAGTGGTTATGTTGCTGAACTCCCACATGGCTAACTGCGGTTCAAGTCCAGGGCCTGGCTTGAAACTCACACTGTGTGTGTGTGTGTGTGTGTGTGTGTGTGTGTGTGCATGTCCAAGATCTAAGGAGGAGAAGGGATTGCAGCATGGCCATTCCCTCAGGAGGATGATTTCTCACTTTCCTTCTCATGGCTCTGTCTCACACCCTAAGGCAAAAACCTTCCCCCCCCAAAAAAAAAGAAGAAAGAGGACAAAAATATTGCTACCTAGCATATTAAACTATTGCGAAGATTAAAAGCCAGTATATATAAAGCCCATAGAAAACTACATAATTAAATGTTCATTTATGTTAGTTATTAATATTATTTCAAGCAGTGATACAAAGAACATGTTACCTAAATCCCGATCTTTCTTTTAAGGCTTAATTTAGTTCTTACATCTGTCTTAAAGCCTCCCTGAGGGAAAGATCCATATAAATGATCCTCTGAATTCCCGTGGCCAGAATCAAGTCATTTGTTTCTCTGTGCCCACAGTTTCTCATTTTTACGAGTTGTTCTGTATTCAGTGAAATGCATATTTAAAGAATACATGCGGCAAGCCAGCTGGTGGCATGCTGGTTGGGGCAGCTAGATCCCACATGGCCAGTTGTGCTGTTTGAGTCTCAGACTGGCAGCTTAAGAAACACTCCAGGCTTATGTACAGGTGTGCCCAAAACTCCTGAAAGAAGAATGGAAGAAAAGGGGTTGTGGCATGACTACATCCCATGGAGGGTGATTTCTTGCTTCCTCCATCTCTCTGGCAAGCGCACATGCTCTGTGGCAAAGTTGGGAAAAAAAAGTAGTGTGTGAAACATCATGTGGGTAACGGCTAGCAGCATAGAGGAGGTGTAGTCTTACGGAACTAATGCAAGCCAAATATATAACTGCAATAGAAGTGGAATAATACCAGAAAAAATAGATTAACAAAGAGTTTGAAATTTCTGATAAGGAAAGGAGTATACAAGACTGAAAAAAAGCTTTGGAAAAAGAGTTATAATTGAAGATTGGTAGCACCTGAAGGTTGCAAATGGGAGGAAATGCATCCAGGAGGGAGTAGAACATGGCTTGACAGGCAGGAAAGGTTGAAATATGTAAGATCAGGGTCTGGCAGGTGGTGTGGTGGGTAAGAGTGCCGGACTCTCACATGGCCGAGTGCAGTTTGAGTCCTGGATCTGGTGGCTTACTTTCTCACTCTCCCTCCCTCTTTTCTCTTTCTCACTCTGTTCCTCTCTGGTCATATTTAAATAAATAAATAATGTTAAATCAGTCTAAGAAAGAAATATGTCAGATCAGAAAGTCTTCCAATCAGAATGGAGGGTACAAATATGACTAGAGAAGTGATGAAACATAGTCAGAAAATTAGAAGTAAAAACTGTGTGGACCAGAATCAAGTAAGTGTGTAGTTCTATAGTAGTTAGTAGTTACAAAAGATTTTGGAACTGTACTGGAAGTAGAGAGAGATTTGAATTAGAGAGAAGTTA